ACCGGTTGGAAGTGTCTCAATACGTTGTACTGTGCTTCCTACAGTTTGTAACGGTAGACATTTTCGTTAGATTATATTTTTGTTACTTGTTCTTATTTATTTTCAAATATCCATTCTTAGATTAATCGTCGTTCAATTTGTAATATTAACTTAAATGGACTGAAAGTAAACTAAATGAAACGAATTGTAGTTTGCAACTTGTATGCAAGTCAGTTGCCTACGCGTAAAGAGGTTAGCGAAACGTATTGCTTACGTAGCTTCTCCGAAGAGTTTCACCATTCGTGTTTTTTTTTACTCGGATAGAGAAAACCGAATGGGATAGTTCTGAGAGTTGTTAGCAGTAGAAGGGAACAAGATAGACAGACCGAGTTCAATTGAAGAGGGAAAGAGATACTTCATTTGATCTCTCACGATCGTAACTAATGAAATCCGTTGAACTTCCATTTCCGGTAATCATGCCTTGGGACTTTTCTGAGGAAATTCAGTAATCGCCTCTTTCACTTTGATCCTGACTGGGATAGAAGAAGGGCGCGATTCTGTAGTTTTTTCCGCGGTGTGATTGGTTAGTAGTAGAAAACGTGAAGTGTCCTCAGATGTATTTTAATCGATTCTATGTTCCCCGTATAGGCTAAAGCTAGATAGCATTATAGTGTTGTAATTGTTGTGCGAGAGTTGTGTAAGCGTTCCAGATAACGGCAAGGTAAAACCAATTTACGAAATTTGTGTGTGCCGATAATAGGTTAATTGTGTCGTTTGCACGGTCAACGACTTTCCGCGTGTTCGCTTTCTATAGGATTCAACAGCCAACAAAGCGACCGTTGATCAATAGCGCTGCCTCGCACCGCGGCTTTGCTTATTGTCGTCAACCCTTACCAGGCTCGGGTATCAAAGCTTCCCGGTTGCCTATCCGAAGGGAGTTGCCTACGTTACCATCCGCTGACTGAGCTCGGCAACTAAGAAACTTCAAGCGCAGTAGGAGGACATCAGCCGTCGTTGCAACGGCGGCATCGGTCGGGCGAAAGTCCGTTAAGCTCGCCAACGTAAGCTTCAAATCCTGTAAGTAGCGAACCCACACTTGCATGCAAGGCCGTTAGCACGGACACAGAATGATAGCGCGCTAGTCCATCGACCGCACTAGTCAGATAGAAAGATAGAGGAGAACAGTAGTTAGGCCGGCCAGAACCAAGATTGTAGATATGTGAATAAAAAACCCTATAGATAAACTAAATGAAAGTAGAATGTTCACTCCCAAAATAAATCAGTGTTCAGTGTTAGAAAGTTTTGATTGAGAGAGTCTAAAGGTTATTTCACGTTTCGTTCATCATGTTTAGTCTTTTTCCGTTGAATTTGTTGTGTTACTCGTCTTCTAAATCAAGCTCGAGTTGATGGGTCAGAGGGATTGCTTCCTGTGATGATACCCCTGTTCGGATTGGTTTTCGGGATTGGAAGTTTTTCGGACTCGGTTGTTAGGGTCTTGGGATTTCGGTGGGTATGTTCTCTCCTTTCTTGAGTCACTCGGCCCAGTTGGTCTTGTTCCCGACACTGTTGACGAATTTGAGAACTGGCTCATTTGGCCAGTATCTAGCCGGGCATCGTGAAACACGACAGGTGGTCCTCTTCGGAGGTGGCGCTTAAGCCATCCGTTTATGAAACCTATCGGGAACAAACAACAGCACCGTAGCTGCCTCGGGTCCGCTACATATTGGCGCCCAACGTGATGTTTGATGTTTTTTTTTTGGTAAATTTTTTTCAAATGAAAATTAGTGTAGATCGTGTAAATATGAATACAGCCCATTTTTTAATTAGGTTACATGTTTAGGTTACGAAAATTTAGTATGAGATAGAATTTTCTTTCGGATTTCAGTGAATTCAGGCAAGAACTTGGTAATTTTTTCGGAAATCGTTGTGAACTTGGTTGTGAATGAACTCAGGTTGAACTGAACTCACTGTATACATATTTATCTTAAGTTTGGTGTTTTTCATTTATATATTTTACTGCTAAGTTGTGATAGAATTGAGTTTTGCTATTTTTTTTCTAAGGCTTACGTGTTTGGGTTGATTTGTGGAAATGGCTACGAAATTCCCACGCGCAGCACATTTGCTAAACGATGAGGTAAATTATGAGTTGAAGTTGAGAAATTATGGGGAGGAGTGTAGTAAAAGTCTTGAATCAAAACAAAGACTGCTGAGAAGGTTGTTTCGTAAGGATGCTAAAGAGAACAGAGAGTATCGCTCAAGATACTCCATTGTTCAGGAATGTGAAGTGATCGCTCAGCGAATTGAGGAGATTAGTATAGCTTTAGCTCAAACTCATGATGTGAAACTAATTTCCCGTCTAAAACATTATTATTCAAGAACAAAACGAAGCAATGCTCAGACTGAGGAAGCAGAAACAATGAAGAATGGGTTGTCGAATAGGATAAACGCTCTACTGATCGCGAATAGTTCGCTAACCGGCGAGAATCACGAACACGAGTCGGGTTCCGAGTCAACAAGCAATGAATGCACTGACTTTGAAATTTCGGATACGGAAATAGGCGCGACAGCATCGAAAAATAAAAAGAAAGTTAAGAAATCAAAGAAAAAAACACAAGAGAATGAGGATGACTGCGCCAAACTCGAACGTAAGGTTCTAGGTCTCGAAGTTCAAATGGTGGAGCTTAAGACCATGCTTCAACAGGTATTGAGTCTCAGTCAGTCATCGCAGAGAAACCAATTACCACAGCAGCCGAGCAGGACAGTTCAGGAAAACCGAACGGGAACGGTACCCAAAGGTGGACGACCGCAGGATCTACAACCGGAAAATGCGTATTCAGAAGCAAACCCAGTAGGACAGTTAGGAGGGGTTCAAACTCAGTACGAAGGCTTGTTCTCAGTGAATGATCTGGGAAACAATTCCGGACGAAACATTGTGGGACAGCAGAATAATGGTTGGTTTCAGGGATACAACCATGGAAATGACTTAGCAGGATTTTCTCCCCAGGGACCTCCGGAAAATAGGGATCATAGGAGCCTCATTCAGAGGGACACCCGAGGGTCAAATCCAGGAGGAAATTTCCATCAGGGGGTTCAGGAACAACAAACGCGATACAACACGATCGAAAACCAAAGGGGACCATTTACCGGGATTAGTCAGCAAAGGTGGCCAGACGGACTTCAAAGAGATGAACGCGTTAGTGACGGAAGTGAGCGAACTCAGGGTTTTCCTAATGCTTCGGATGTTCCGATATGGAACAGGAACCAATACCGAGAGAACCGAATGCAGTATGATAGGAAAATAGAAAAATGGAACATTTTCTTTTCGGGTGCGGCTAGGTCACCAACTCTAGAGGACTTCATTTACAAAGTGAAGGTTCTGGCTAGCATGAATGGAATTCCTATGGACTGCTTAATTAGCCACATTCACCTACTTTTGCGTGATGAGGCATCAAACTGGTTCTTTACCTATTACGATGCAAACTGGAATTGGAACATTTTCGAAACCAGAATAAGATACAGGTTTGGCAACCCAAACCAAGACCAAGGAAATCGCCAGCAAATTTACGAGCGAAAACAGCTGAAAGGTGAGACCTTTATTGCCTTTGCTACAGATATCGAAAGATTGAACAAGTTGGTGACCAAACCTTTGATGTCGCAACGAAAGTTTGAAATAATCTGGGAGAATATGCGCCAGCATTATCGGTCTAAATTGGCATGTTTTCAAGTAAATATTTGGAGGAGCTAATCCAGTTAAACTACCGGATTGATGCTAGTGATCCAAGCTTGCACCCAGTTGGTTCAAGACACGGAGTTCACAACATTGAAGCGGAGTCGGAAGGGGAGATTTCAGACGAGGAAGAGGTCAATGTTCTGAGCAGGAGGCAACAGAGAGCGATCGGGTTTTCGAATCAGCAAGACAGATCAACACCAGGGGTGGAAGGATTTTCGAGATCACCGCTGTGCTGGAATTGTCGGCAAAACGGGCACTTTTGGAGAGAATGTAAGGAAGCCAAAACAACGTTCTGCTATGTGTGTGGAAATCCTGGAAAAATTTCAAGTTCGTGCAAAGCGCAAAAAGAAATTCGGGAAACTGAGTACGGAGTGCGTAGATGGGAACCCTAGCATTCCTCAGAAACCCTCTGTTCCCACCAAATTAGAACCGTTTGTCGACCCAATGCAAAGTCTGCTAGAAGTCAAGATCCAAACAAGTCAGTGTCCCCATGTTAAAGTCAAGATTTTCGGTATAGAAACGGACGCTTTACTTGACTCAGGAGCCAGTATTAGTGTGGCTAATTCACCTGAACTGGTTGACCGTCATGGATTAAAGCTTTTACCATCGCCGATTAAAATTTGCACTGCAGACCACACACAGTACTCTTGCGCAGGGTACGTTAACGTTCCTATTAAATTTAAAAATGTTACGAAAGTAATATCCCTTGTTATTGTTCCTGAAATATCGAGGAACTTAATATTGGAATTTGGTGTTTTACCCTTGTGCGCCCATCGATGCAGCTATTTGGTGTTTTGTTTCTACTATTTGGCCCTGCAGTGCAAGGCCACCCGGTAAGTAATTCGAGTCAGCAAAAACATGTGCACATCGTAAATGTTTTACTGTCCGTTGAAAATGTATCTCAAGAGGGTATGATAATGAATTGCATTGATGGTTGCGTATGCTATCTTGAAATGGAAATGCTCTTTCTAGCAGGCCTGGGTTCAATCCCAGTCGGCGCCGCCGGGATGTTCTGAGGCATAACATTTCTGATCACGCCTTCCTTTGGAAGGGAAGTAAAGCCGTTCGTCCCCGGTTCATGAGTTGATGGGTCGATAGGAAGAGTCCAGGTGTGGGAGCTGTTTCCCTGGCGTCGGTAATAAATAAATAAATAAAACAGTTACAGCATCTCAAAGTGGCCTGGCTTCAAATTGACCCTCAGGTTCAGACAAAGCATTTGCTTCAAATGTCACTTCTCTTTAGCCGAAAGTTCCCCCGAATTAACTATTTCCCTTGCTGCCACCTCTTCCAGCTCTACTCGGACCTCATCACGCTGGCCTGTACCAACGCAACCGGCATCCTGCTGCACTGGCCCAAGGAGAAATCCCAGCGGAACGCCTTCATGGAAACGCGCCAATGTGTGGAGGCCCGCCTGCGGATTCAACGGGAGAACCAGAAGCAGGAGCAACTGCTTCTGTCGGTTCTTCCCCGACACGTGGCGATGGAAATGAAGAACGACATTGCCGGTCAACCACGGGAGGAAGCGCAATTCCACAAGATCTACATCCAACGGCACGAGAACGTCAGTATTCTGTTTGCGGACATCTGTGGCTTCACGAGCTTATCGGACCAATGCACGGCGGAGGAGTTGGTGCGGCTGTTGAACGAGCTGTTTGCTCGGTTCGATCGGCTGGCTCAGGAGCATCACTGTTTGAGAATTAAGCTACTGGGAGATTGCTACTATTGCGTGTCTGGGCTACCGGAAGCTAGACCGGATCATGCAATTTGCTCGGTGGAGATGGGGCTGGATATGATCGATGCCATCGCCCTGGTACGGGAAGTGATGGCAGTCAATGTCAACATGAGAGTTGGAATCCATACGGGGCGGGTCCACTGCGGAGTGCTGGGATCGAGGAAATGGCAGTTTGACGTGTGGTCCAACGATGTAACGCTGGCGAACTACATGGAAAGCGGTGGAGTCCCCGGGAGGGTGCACATTACGAAGGAAACGCTCAAAAGTCTCGGCGATCACTACGAGGTCGAGGAGGGAAAGGGAGCCGATCGCAACAATTACCTGAAAGATCATCAAATCCAAACGTTTCTGATAGTTCCTAAGGAGTCGTATCGAGCGGTGAGTTTTGGTTGGGAAGCTTGATTAGGCGCTGCATTTGATCACTCATTTCATTCCACAGCACACCATGTCCAAACAGTCGTCTTCCGTGAACGGGAACATTTCCAAGGAGCTCCGGATGATGGGCCACTGGTCCAAGATGGGCTTCAACGACAAGCAGGAACCCAAGAGCACGGAGGAGGAGGTCAACGAGTATCTGATCAAGGCGATCGATGCGCGTTCGATCGATCGGCTCCGGTTGGATCACTGCAAGCGCTTCCATCTGACCTTCATCAAGGACGACATCGAGCGGAAGTACTGCCGGGAGCCGGACCCGATGCTGAATGTGTACTTCTACAGCAGTATCATCATATTCTTCGGGATCATGTCGATCCAGGTGCTTGTTTTTCCTATGTAAGATCAACTCCAATTGGCGAGCAATGATTCAATGGACTAAACTCTGTGTGTTTTCTCTTCCAGGGACCAGTACTCCTATTGGGTGTACGGTGTTTTAACTGTGATGCTTATGGTTTCCTGTGTTCCTGTCTTCTCCAGAGAAGATACGGTTTGTGAAACTTTTTTTTTTTTAAGCGACCTCTAACAAATACAACATTTTTCTTCCGCAGAAAATTTCCAACTTCTTCCGGGTGATTTCGCAAAAGATCCATGGCCGTCGAGAGATAGCCCAAGTGATATCGTTATGCGTTGTCGTTACTGTGATATGTTTGTCTTACTATAAACTGGTAACTGAGTTGAAACGTGAAAATATCCTAATCAATTAACTAGTTCTTTGTCGTAGACTTTCATCTTCTATCGATCTCTATCGGATGAATATTTTCTGCAGTGGCCTAATCAGTGTAATGAATCGAAAACTTTTAATGTAAGTCCATCTGTTCACATTGATCGATTGGTCAAAATGTTCATTCTTTTGTTTCTCGCCCAGATTCTACTACTACTGACCTTGCTTGCCTTACTAACCTGTGCGGTGCATCAGTTCATCAAGATCCTGTTCAAGATCATTCTGTTGTTGGTCATCCTGATGTGCTACGTCGCTTCCATCGTGGTGCTGGCGTTAATCTACGATCGGCACTGTGAGCCGTGGTGAGTGGAAAATTCCTTTAATTCATTTTCTAAAAAATAATCATTCAAATTAACTGCGTGAACGCTCTTTCATAAAGACAGTACACATCATATCAAATTCTGATGACAAAAAAAAAAACGGCCCACCCACGGAGCGAATAATTTACTGCGGTGTCGAAATAAACAGCTTTTCCCGATCTCATTAATTGTCACATTTTCCGCTTAACGAGCAACTGAACAGCTGAAAAAGCAAGGCTCGGGCTCTCCCTAGATTAGATTACAAGCCACAAAAAGATGAAAAGCTGTAATTAAGACTGTTTTTCGAGCCAACACCGTTAGTCGTCTTTTGGCAAAGGTGCAAACTCCTGCCAGCTTGCAGAAACAAGCTAATTTTCAATTTCATGCTTCGATTGAAATTGTCTGAAATTAAAACGCGTCCGATTTTTCGCAGGTTCCTAACGACGGAGCGCTTCCTAATCGACGTCGCCTTTCTGGTGGTGTTTGTGATCGGTCAAATCATGAACAGCCAGCAGACGGAGATAACGCGGCGGTTGGACTTTATCTGGAAGCTGCAGGCCACCGAGGAGAAGGAGGACATGGAGCACCTGCAGGCGTACAACCGGAAGCTGCTGGCCAACATACTGCCGGTGCACGTGGCCGATCACTTTCTGCGGCGGGAGAAGAACATCGAGGTAAGATGAGTGTGTGGTGGGATTTGACTTGAGCTCAATTTTTCCTCTACGGTTTTGCGGTCTTTGGTTGACTTGTTTTTTGCTGTGCTCAGTTCAGTGTCAACATTTCAAAGGGACGTAAAAGCTTTTGTAAACAATGGCTTTAGCCGTTGATTTCTCGAGAATAAAAGCTCACATATGAAAATTAATGACACCGACAGGTAGAGGAATGGTTCCTCAACCAGCTAGCATTGATAATTTGGAGAGGTGAGCTTCTATTTGTGAGAAATCAAGAAGTAAAGTCAATATTTACAAAAGCAATTACGCCCCTTTGAAACGTTGACACTGAGTTGTTGTAATTTTCATAAAATGACACTAGCTCTACAAGTGCTTCGTTGTTTCAGAACACAGTGAGACAAACCAGATTTTGTTTTACAAGGAGGGCAAATCCATGACAAATAGCAAAAACAAACGAATTTCAGATTTTATTTTGTTTTATTAATTTATTTTTACAGGCTCAATCGAATAAACTTTACTGAGCCAAGTTATCATTTGCGATTTACATAATTAATGTCTTAAATCTAGAGTTAAAGGGGTTAGTAGAGATTTACAGTTTAATGGATGAGGATAGGGTGGTTTGCATCAGCAGTGTAATTATAAAATTATTACAGAAACAAACATTTAAAAAAGTTGAGGGTTGTGTCCAAAGCACGACCACATTGTTGACGTAGAACTACGAGATTGTTTTTGATGCTCCATTCACTAATATAGTAATGACAAAATAAATGGTTTAGAAACTGAGCTCCAAAATGAACAGTTCATTATTCAAATTTTTGAAATTGGGCGGTTATTGCATAATTCCTAAAATTAGTATTACCTTTGGCCGCTTTCTTGTTGGCTCGACACAATCGAACGCATCCAGCAATGGTTCGCGACTGTTTTGCAGGTTTCTTTGCCTCTTGGTCTCTCATGCGCTTCCGATAATTGCGGAGATATTTAGAAGCGATGTGTTGAGATATTTTGAAGATTTTCAAAGAATTTCTCAATAAACACTTGATTCACTTCGAATATTGACTCTATCCAACGCGGAGTGTAAACACTGAAGCACTTACTGTACCAATTTGAATATACAGAGAATGCTACAATGCATAATCACGATGATGTTTCAATATGATGTCTGTGTTTGGGAAACAGACTCCTCCCATCATGAGTAGTTTGTTCTCCATAACTCCAATGTCTTAAGACCAGCCGCGGTGGACGATCATTCTCAGGATCTTATTCTGGAGCCTTTGTAATTTGAGATAGTGGCTTTTTGCGGAACTCTACCAGATTGGCATCCCATATTCTATTACGGGAAGGATTAGTTGTTTGTAGACAGCAAGCTTATTTTTCAGGAACAGGGTAGACCTCCTGTTGATGAGTGGATATAATGATCTTATCAAGATGTTGCACTTGGTTTAGGTTTTGACAACGTGCTTCCTGAAAAACAGGTTGCTGTCTAATGATAGGTCTAGGTAGACTACCTCTTTCGACCATTCCACCACTGTGCCATTCAGGCAGATCTTATTATTCACCGATGGAACAAGTCTGGGAGATTTAGAGTGTGGAAAGATGATGACCTGGGTTTTTATACAGATCTCGTTGATACAGATCTCTCTGAACTTTGTCAGTCAGAGCTCCGATGACTCTACCCTTGTAGACGATGGATGTTTCATCTGCGAATAGAGACAACGATCCACCATCAGGGAGAGCCAGCATATCGGAGGTGAACAGGTTGAATAGAATGGGGCCAAGGATGTTTCCTTGTGGAACCCCGAAACCGATGTTGAAAACATCCGATGTGATGCCATTCAGAGAGACTCGGAACGTCCTGTCCGATAGATAGTTGTTAATTATCTTCACTAGGAAGATTGGAAGACCGTAGTGCTGAAATTTGCACACCAGGCCATAATGCCAGACATTGTCGAATGCTTTTTCAACGTCCAACAACGCCATGGCAGATGTTTTCGAAACAGACTTGTTCCGTCTAAGAATGTTTGTTACTCGAGTCACATTCGGCACATGTTCGAAGCCGGTGATAGACTGCTCTTCCGAACAGTTCTGATAACCCTGAGAGAAGGCTGATTGGTCGATGACTTGAGGGAGAGGACGGATCCTTCCCAGGTTTCCGGATGGGTATGACTTTAGCTGACTTCCAACACGAGGCAAAGAGGCAAAGATTAAAAATCATTGCCAGATGGTTGTAGCATGTGAAACTCAAGTCTTTGAGTTCCAGATTCAGTATGTTGTAAATAGAAGCCTGGGGCCTGGGGCAACCTGAGGTTGGTTGCATTTTCAGCAACCTCTGTTCCGTGAGGGCTGTGGATGTTTTGTCCGAGATTATGGGAGCTGACAAAGTGTTGACCTATTACGGTAGCCTTCTCTTCAGGAGTTATCAGATGAACCACTGGGTCGCCAGAATGGTCCAGTGGGGTCAGTGGTGGAATGGGTCTTGGCTTGTTTTTAAGAATTTTGGTTAGTTTCCAAAAGGGGTTTGCACATTTTGGGAGCGAGCATCCTGTTAGCAAAGTTCTGATTTTTGAGGTCCACCATGGATGGTTTTTGTTAGGTGATTACAATGGGTCTTCAAGACAGGCAAGCCAGAACGCTGGTTTTGCCTTCGAATGGAGTTACGGAGTCTAATGAGATTTTTGGAAATTCTATCAAGGTTCAGAGTCTTGCTCACCTGTCTGGATACTGGCACGTGTTGTTCCCTGGACCGGGACATCGCCTCCTCGATGGAACTCAGACACCGGTCAACGTCTTCGGGCGTCTCCGGAAGGACATCGTAGTCGACAGTGGAGTCGACACAGTGTTGGAACTGATCCCTGCTGACGCGATGGTAGTTGCGTCGGGAAGCTTGGAATCGGTTGACGGATGAGCCCACACTGGCCACCACCGGATAGTGGTCCGAACTCAGCTCATGGTGGGTCACAGGTTGCGAGATGTTGTCTCCCATGTTGCTGACGAAGATGTCGATGGTGAAGTGAACGCCAGACCGGCTCAACCGGGTGGGAGAGTCCGGCGCTATTATGGTGTCTTGCAGGTCGTCGCTCAGGATTATGTCGTTTTGGTTGCGTCGAGTGTTGCCCCAAGCCTGGTGTTTGGCGTTCAGGTCGCCAGCGATGACGCAGGTCTGCTGCCGACCCGTCCCTGATGGTGACTTGTTTGGGTCAGTAGGCCGGAATGATGGTAATAGGGCCGACAGGAGTGGAGACTTCCATACCCACCGCTTCGATCATCTTCAGCTGGAAACTCGGTAGCAGTCAACAGTCAATATTTCTCCTCAATACGATAGCCACTCCTCCTCCGCAGGAGCTGGTCCGGTCTAGCCTTACGAGCTGAAAATCGGGTAGGTGAACATTTATCTCTTTGCCGGCGCCGGTGGTGTAGTGGTAAGCGTGACTGCTTTCTCACCCCAATGGGTCTGGGTTCAATCCCAGTCGAGGTCGGTGGGATTTTTCTGAGGCATAAAAATCTCTGGTCACGTCTTCCATCGGAAGGGAAGTAAAGCCGTTGGTCCCGGCCCATGTGTGTTGATGAATGGGTGCGATATCCTACGCAGGTGTGGAAGCTGCCTTCCTGCACATTCGATTGCCGTCAAATGGATGGCAATCGATGTCCGTCGGTGATTGGCACTAGATTGCGGAACAGAGACCGACGTTAAATAAAGGAAAGTAACATTTATCTCCGGTTTCAGGTGTGTTTAAGTGATGACGGCGATGTCAATGCTATGTTCATTGAGGAAATCAATGAACTCATGATTTTGCTCTTGAGCGAGCAAGCGTTCCAGTTGACTATTTTGATGGCTTCGCGGTCCATACTTTTGCACGAGGGACATAACTGCACGAAGCTGTTCAGGTAGTGTCTTGTTGGTGCGCAAGATTATGATCCCCTCAGTCACGAGGTCTGGTTTAGTGGAAGCGGTGCTAGGTTCGGGACCATACGACGAGCCTGAGGTACTGGAAACGTGTCCATGTTGACAATAGAAGCACAATTATTGCGGTGTTGACCAGGTTGGTTCGTCGTGGAAGCCTGTTGTCGGATCCGAATGAAGGCCGCTCGCTTGGGATATCTCCTATCGCTGCAGGCGGTAGTATTGTGAGCCCCAGCACATTTGCCACAAAGAGCCTTTATGGGACAGTTCTTCGTACCGTGCTCAAATGCCAGATACTGCTCCCACTGAATCACGACGTTGAACAGCGCGCGAATCAGCCGCAGAGCAGCCACACTGGTGGAGTCCTTATCGAAGTGCACCAGGTACAACTGGTCCCGGAATGCACTGGTTTCATCACGTCTCGCAATTGGAAAAAAAAAATGTTGATTGGTTGCATATGAAGGTGCTCCAATTCCGCTTTAATCTCTGCAACAGGGAGATTTGGAAGACCACGGATCACCATTTTCAGTGGTTTGCTTCCAGGGACGTCGTGAGTGTTATAAGACACTTTTAGGCCCCGGAACCACTAGGACCTGGAGAAGGACCTGCCAAAGCCCCAAGCTGCCGGTCTAAGCCTACGACAGCTCCCGGGGTGGGCACTTACGGCCTCTGATAATTCCGGGTCTCAAGGCGTACGGGCGTGGGAGAGTTTTCGAACAAGGGATCCTATCAAACGCTACGGTCAACGGTTAAATGATTTATTAATTGATGGCAAACAAACCTGACTGGGCTTTGGTGGTGACGGGTAGCGATCGGGTGATTGTCGGGTGGCAGTAGGATGGCGGCCGGTAGGCGACCAGGTGGTGGCCGGGTGGTGTCCGGGTAGTGGCCGGATGGTCGCTGGTAGCAGCCGAATGGCGCTCGTACGACGGCCGGGTATACTGCCAGATGAAGGCGAGTTCGGTCGGAGGGGGCGGCTGAGTGCGGCCGGGTTGGCGGCCGGAGGGAGGCGAGTAACGAACTTCCACGTCGCAACGCTTTTAAATTCAGGTTAAAAATATAAATGTTGACGTGTTCCTATACGCCCTTCTGGCATGCGCTTATCTATCGTGCAGCGCATATCCTACAGCTTAGAGTAGTCAGTTATACTGACCTGAGCGCGACAGACATAGACCTAAATAAACAACTAGTCTTGTAATCTTTCGTTCCACTTTCTTTGCAAAATGTTATCCTTATACCTGTTTTTACTTTACGAACATGGAAACATGGTTTGCCTGAAATACAATTTTTCACTATGATCTTTCCTTGATAATTAATAATGTTGCTTGATTAGCAAATGCCGCGTTCGCAACAGTATGAGTTATGGTCAGACGCTGGTTTGCCAGGGTTTCGAATGGCTATTACTTAGACCTGTGTCCATTCAGGCGGTACAATGTTGCTTTCTAGTAAAGAATTGAATAAGTCTAGCAAGCGTCTTTTAGCGATTTCTGGGAGATTTTTCAGAAGATTGAATTGAATCATATCGCTGCCCGGTGAGCAGTTGTTCGATGAAAGAGGAGCCATAGAGAATTCCAGCATTTTAAATGGTCTACCCAGAGAGCCGCCGCTCGGAGACGCTCCTCGAAGAATGTGTTGTGCTGGAACTGAGTCCGGACAGGCCTTTTTAGCAAAATCGAAGAATCTCATTAGAAGTTGAACGGTTACGCATGTTGCGAGCCACCCTCCTCAAGGTGTTCATTGAGGTTTCTCGTGAGAGTCACTCGACGAAATTGCCCCAATAGCCAGCGTTGCCAGTATTCCAGATTTATCTGGACTCTCCAGATTTTTAGTCGTCTTCCCAGATTTTTTAAACATGTTGCTTTAAAAATATTATAAAAATAATAATAATATATTTACCCTCTTATAAAAAAATAAAAATCCAAACTTGCTGCTTTAATTATTAAAGGCCATCCACGTTGGACATTATTGGAATTTTGAGGTAATTCTGAAAATAGTTCACAGTGAAGTGTGAGCCGAATTCCTTGTGTAATGAAAGGAGAACTTCAAGCTAATTCTGAGTATAGTTCCACCCATCTTTTTGGCCTTCGTGGTCGTGCGGCGTCACCCGTCATTCAGGCGTATTGTGAGTGCCACGAAGTAAAGGTTCGATTCCCGCTCCAGCCGGTGCAAAATTTGACAACCTGAAAATGTATCTACTGATCTACTGGGTGTGGTGTGTTGTCCGTTATTTAGTGATAAATACCCAGTATGTGCAACCTCTGGTTGAAGACGGTGTCAATTGTCTTGTCAACTCTGATGATAATTGCATGAAGATTTTGTGAATATAGAAAGAGAAATCATAGAAAATTCTTATGATGAAACTTAAGGAGTATGCTGATACGAATCGTAAGAATAATTTCAATGGAATTCTGTCCAATGTTTCTATGGAGATTCATTTTAATAAAATTTAAAGACATTTTAACGAAATTATGCGCAATTTCTTTCAAGGACATTTTGGCAAAGTACTTGAGTACTTAGGAAATACTGAAGAGCATTTCAAAATAATTCTGACCTTACCTACAAAGGGAAATATCGGATAGGTCTGTGAAGAGTGTGACAGTCATTCTGAAGATTGATTAATTGATTTATCTTTATTTAGGAGGCTTTCAGCCTGAGGCTGGTTCGCCTCCAAGTATTCTGAAGAGTGCATCAAGGAAATTATTAAGAATATTTTAAGAATTTCATAGGGAAAACTGGACACAGGGAGTCTATGGAATTGTGGAATTGTAGAGTAATGTATAAGAGATTAAAAGAGGTAATGCTATGAATTCTGCTATGAATGTTACTGGAAAAGATTATTTTAGGGGAATCCAGAAAATAAGTATGATGAAATTTTAGGATCATTCAAATGGAACTCAAAAAAAAGGGCGAAGATATAGTGTGAAGACTTCCAAGTTAATTCGGACTATCAAAAATTTTCATGATCTGGGACCCAGGAAAAATAGAAATTCCGGAATTTATAATCATTTTAAGATCCTGAGACTTCTAAAAAGAAGCTATCAGACTTTCATTTTAGTAATATAATAAAATTATTCTTTGGCATAAAATTATTCTTAATGGTCAAGCGCGAAAAGTGTAGTTACCCATTGATTCTCACTTCAGCCAGGTGAATTTCGCTGCAAGATAAAATTGCGTACTGGTATGTTGAGTGTTGTGTGTTGTATTGAATTAAATTGTAAATCTGATCAACCTGAGGGTTTTATTAGAATTATTTAGAACTAATAAAATCTTTATATTCTGGTACTGCATAACATAGTAAGGACTACATCGACTATTAGTTTTAAAAAATCCATCCCATCAAATTTGCTTAATTTTTTGCTTCTCATTCTTAAAAAAAAAAAGTTATATTAAAAAAACAAGTCTAAAAATATTTTCCGCGGTATTTACCCACATTTAATTCAATTTTTGAACTGCTGCGTAATGGATATTTAAAACTTTTTGGGCACACTGTGTCAATACTTTTCAACTTTTGGATGATTTAGCAATGCGACCAAGTTATTTGCTTTATACAATTTATTTAAACTAGTAGCTCATAACCATTCTAGCACTTTAAATAAATTCCAGATGATCATACTGACCAATTTTTACGGGTGATTGGTACATCACTTTGATTTCAATAGCATTATGTTAAAAACAGGATATTTTGGAGCAGTTGAGTAATTGTTTCAGCTTGGTCTCAAGCTTTGAATATTCCTCGAAGTATGTGGACTCCACTTTGTGGAGGTTTTGTGTCTACGAAAAGCGTTGAACGGATCAGATTTTTCTATATACAATTTTGTGCATTCTTCGTCCCATCCAGGTGTGGCTGGTCTCTTTTTGAAGGGCGCACTTGGAACTTTTCTTATTTGTGCTTCCAGTGAGATTTTGTATATCAAATCGGCGAGGAATCGATATTCTTCCAATTGGGGAAGCGTATCTGTTGATTCGACACCGATTGTCACCGCCGTTGCATATTTCTGCCACTCGATGTTCCTTGTAAGATCAAACGGAACTCGAGATGGTTCTGCAGAGTGAGGGCTACACTTAATTGAAACGATGATTGGCAAATGATCGCTACCATAGGGATCATTGATAACCTTCCACAGACAATCCAATGATAATGATCTTGAACACCAAGATAGGTCGCGTCGGCTTTCTCGCCTTCACCAGTGTTAAAAATAGTCAAATTGAAGTCGTCACATAAATTGTAAAAAAATGGTCGCTATATTGTCATCATATAGATCGCCCCACCCAGTACCATGAGAGTTCATATCACCCAAAATCAATACTGGAGATGGAAGAATCGAAACTAGATTCCACTGTTGACTACGGCTAATGGAGGTTCTTGGTGGAACACTGAAGCTATGCAAAGCGACAATTTCGACGCCTGATAGAGCAGGAAGGGAAATTTTGTAGAAAGGGTAGCACTTTTTGATCCCTAAAAGTACTCCTCCGTAAGAATCGTCTCTATCCAGGCGAATAATGTTAAAATCGTGGAATATGAGTTCTTTATCGGAAGAAAGCCATGTTTCACAGAGAGCAAATATATCACAATCAGAATAGTGAATTAAAAATTTGAACGAGTCTAGTTTAGGCACTAGACCACTGTAGCACAGTGATCATATCTTGAACCTCTTTCGATGTTTAATATGAACTCCACAATGTCCGTAAAAGCTAGCAAACCTCGTTCGGACTTGGATTTCTTTTGAGAAGTTTGAGGAGCAGTTTTATTATTTTTCTTATCTTTTTTGGGCAATGGTGGAAAATTCCTGCCGCCTCCAGGGATTGGTTCAGCAGGAGCCTTCGGTTTTGTTTTTTCATCCCCATTACCCTGGGAATTTGCCAATCTTCTGGAGGTGATTTTAGTTTTCTTACGGCGCACTTTCGGAGAGGGGCATTTTCTTTTTTCGTAGAATCACCTTCACTCTGGATGAGCCAGAGTCCACTTCTTCAGCTGATAAAATCGAAAATTGGTTTGCGTCTTGGACGGCTGATGCAGCCTTCACCATTTGAGCATATGTCTGCTTGGAGCGTCCTGAGATTGAACACTGCACTTTATCGGAGTGCTGCTCGTACATCGGGCACTCCTGCAAGGGGTGAGGATTCTCGCCACAGTACGCGCATTTTACTGATTCTTTGTGGCAAGAATCCTCTTTGTGGTTTTCACCAAATTTGCCACAACGAGTTGTGTTGCCGGAATGACTGGCCGAGTGTCCCAGCCTTTTGCAGTCGGTACAATTATAAACCCTCTGTACAAAAAATCGCACCGGAAAAAAGCACCATCAACTTTGACAAAGTGTGGGAGAACTGAACCAGCGAAAGTCACCCAAAACGAGTCTGAATGCTGATAAACTTTCTTGCCATCTTGTAAAGATACTGAATGCAGTTGCCTTACATCCAGTTTGGTTTCTATCTCGTCGTCGTTGGTTAAAACATAGACACAAAGAAAATCCTAATTTCCGGTTATATATTTATTCAGGCATTCGATAGAATTTATCAACATTTTTAGAAAATATTTCAAACCGAATACTATAGCCGCAAGGTAAACTTCGCGTTAGGACGAGCACCTATGCTAGCATAGTTTCAACTTCAACCTCTTAACAAAAATCTTAAACCCGTACCATTATTCCCTTCTCTCGTCCAAACAAAACACCAGGAAATCTACCACGAACAGTGCGACAAGGCGTGCGTCATGTTCGCCTCGATTCCGAACTTTTCCGAATTCTACATCGAACTGGAAGGGAACAACGAAGGGGTGGAGTGCCTGCGGTTGCTCAACGAAATCATCGTCGACTTTGACGAACTGCTGGCGCAGGACCGATTCCGGCACGTGGAGAAGATCAAAACCACCGGCTCGACGTACATGGCCGCGTCGGGCCTGACGCTGAACAGCGACGAAGCGGTCGGATCCGGCCACGTCACGGCCATGCTGGACTACGCGTTGGAGCTGTTCCAGAAGATTACCGACGTGAACGAGCATTCCTTTAATAATTTTAGGATGAGAATAGGTAAGATCAGGAAATCCGGAAACGCTCAAATTCAATCGGTTTTAATTTTATGTTTTTTTTATTCTGGTGAAACAGGAATCAACATAGGGCCGGTGGTGGCGGGAGTTATTGGCACCCGGAAGCCCCAGTACGACATCTGGGGCAATGCGGTGAATGTTGCCTCGCGTATGGACTCGACCGGGGTGATGGACCACATACAGGTCACGGAGGATGTGTACGAGATTGTCAAGGACAAAGGGTACAGTCTGACCTGCAGGGGGACAATCGACGTCAAGGGGAAGGGAACTATGGTGACCTATCTGATGCCCGGCATCGTCAAGGAGCTAAACTAGACGAGGGTTGGGAAGTTGTTGATAATTATTACTGCATATAGGTTTTCCCATCGTCGAAATGGTTTTCAGATTTTGTTGAATCGGAACGTACATTGTAAGACATATCAAGAGTATTATTTTTATGGTAGCTGAACAAAAAACCGGTTAGATGCGATGTAATGTTAGTAGCATGCAATGTCTGAGTCTATTAGTAGTTGTAGTTTGGGCAGAAACGTCTGCTTTGTAGAATATTTTCGTACTGAAACTTCTTCCTAAGTAGCGAAGGAAAGATTGCCATTTCATGTGTCTGCAGTTGAGGGGTGGAGAGATCTGTTGGATGTCATCAGGACCTCGTGGACTACACAGCCGTAATGCCTTCCCCTGCACAAGGTATTTTCTCTTTCAGGTGAACTCAGGACCCTACATCCCACCTTAATTCTAATTTTAATATGACACATAGGGCCTTATTACGGGTGTCACTACACGGTGATAAGAAAGTGATACTCAGAATAAGAGCCGTGATTGCCATACAAATAAAATAGGAATCACTTCACCGTAACGACAAGTGACAAATTTTCACCGTGAAGTGACATCCGTAGTAAGCCTCATAGCCTTCAAACTTCTTTGGTTCCAGACGCCTTCGCTTACCTTTTAGATCTGAATTTAATTCTGGTGCCTCGTAGCTTCGCGTTCTTATCTCCTGTCCACCGACAGATAAATTGTCGTCTTTAGCTTTAGCAGGATTTACTAACAGTTCCATGTACAATTTAACAACTTCATCGCCTTTTGAAACCTTGCCTGAAGCTGTTGCTTTCAACTGAATCTCTGCCTTTTTGAAATGTGTAACATGTCGTTGATATTCATTTCCGGTTTCCAATGACTTGACTGTCGCTTCTAATTCCGTACGCTTGATTACTTTAAATCGTTCAGATGAAAAATCCGCGTTCAGCTTATGATCTTTCCTCATCCTTTTAGTATACACGATATCGCCCTCCTTTATCAGGTTGTCGCGTACTTTTCGTTGATTATCTGCATATTCCTTTCCCTTTTCCTTAATAAATTTGTCGGGGTGGCCGAATGAGTTGTGGAGTAGTATGCCAACAAAAACTTCCTCAACTCCTAACGCCAATCCTTGCCTTATTCCTGCGATATGCGTAAACGTTTTAAAATACTCCTATTTTGCCGCTCCACTTCCCCGTTTGCTTGTGGCCAATAGAGAGTCTTGTTGACCAGTTCGATGTTCAATTCCTGGCAAAATTGTTTCAACTCCTTAAATTCACTGCTTAGCTGTGGCCCATTATCAGCCCTCATAGAGAATGGGATCCCAAATCTGCCAAAAATCATTGATAGCTCTCGTATTGTATCCCAAGTAACAATTTTGGTTTTATGAGGGTTCTGTAGACCATGATTTAGACTTGTAGCATGCTTTAAACCCACTATAAAACTAGCAATGTTACTTGGGTATCACTCGCAGTGATTTTAGCCATCTCAACGACTTCAACAAAGCGGCTGTAATAGTCCACCACTTCGAAGAGCCATTGACCTTCTGGTAGAGGCCCTAGAAAATTTACCGCTATTTCCTGCCACGGCCTCGTTGGCATTTGCCTTCTTCTCATCGGTTCTGGAGCATCCGGTGCTGACACAAGTATACAACCTCGACATTTCTTTACGAAGCCTGCCACCTCTCTGTCCATTTTGGGCCACCATACTGATGAACGAAGTGTAGATTTCATCATAGCACTTGCCCTTCGTGAGCAGTATTAAGAATCCGTAATTTTAGTGACTCGGGAACAACTCTAGATAGAGCTGGAATTAGGGCGTAACAGCCTTTGTAAACAATGACTTCTCTAGTTGATTTCTCGGAATTCAAGGCACGCCTACACAAACCAACACATTCATCGGGTAGCAGAAGTCTTCCTCTTCTCGATGGTGATATCGATTGGCCAGGAAGAGCCATGACTTCCGAGAAATCATCGAGAGAAGTCATTGTTTACAAAAGCTGTTACGCCCTAATTCCAGCTCTATCTAGAACTATCCGATCACCGCGCATCAGGATGTCCCCTACTTTGTATAGCTCATTACCGAACACTCGGAACTCTACCGGGAAATCCGACTTGGTTGCTTTGACCAGCTCATTCTAAGGAACAGAAACCGCAAATGAAGCAAAGTTCGCTATACCCCTGATCATAATTTCTTCACGCTGATCAAATAGAACTGGTTTCAATGTCAATAACCTAGATAGCACATCGGCCAAATTTTGATTTCCCGGAATGTAGGTTGTTGAGTAGTCGAATCCTTGCAGACGAAGCACCCACCTTTCAATCTTGGCACGAAGCACCCACCTTTCAATCTTGGCACATGGTCTTGAAAGGGGTGTGAGCTTTGCAATCAGCTAAAATTTCGAACTCCATCCCATACAGATAAATATAAAACTTCTCGATACTCCAAACAAGTGAAAGCGCTTCTTTTTCAGTATGACAATAGCGTTTTTCCTTCTTGGTAAGGGATTTTGATGCAAAGCAAATGACCCGTTTCCTTGACAATCTACTTGTATTATCAACGCTCCCAGTCCGATAGGACTTGCATCGGCCATTACTAAAGTTCTGTCTCTACGTTTGAAAAACCCTAATGTTGTTGACTTGGGCAATGCTGACTTAATTTCATTAAACGCTGTTTCATGTTTGGCGATCCATTCGAATGGAGTTCCTTCCCTTGTCAGATTCCTTAAGGGAGCATCCACTGTTGCCAAGTTGGGAATGAATCTATTTAAATAGTTTGCTAGACCCAAGAAACTGCGCACTTCATAAGCATTTTCAGGTTTTCTCAAAGCAGTCAACGCGGCTACTTTAGCATCTGACGGAGTAATACCATAGAGGTAACTCTAATACTAGTAGGTCCCGAAGAAACGAGCTCAACTTTTTGGCTCAGCTCTGGTACTATCTTCGGTCCCAAGCTAATCGATACACCCCTCGAAACATAGAAAAGTCCACGAGCCCCTCATTTTATCTGTCAAACTTTCCCACCCCAGCAGGCCTGGGTTCAATCCCAGTCGGGATGTTCTGAGGCATAACATCTCTGATCACGCCTTCCTTCGGAAGGGAAGTAAAGCCGTTGGTCCCCAGTTCATGAGTTGATGGGTCGATAGGTAGGGTCCAGGTGTGGGAGCTGTCTTCTTGGCGTTGGTAGCATTGGTGCTCAGCACGGAAAATAAGATCGACGGAAAACAAATCAAGGAAAAAAAAATTCTGTCAAACTTTGATAGCGAATCAAAACAAACATAGTGTAGTACTAGAATTTCGACTAAAATGGGATACGCTTATGAATGTATTTGGGACCAATAGGCTAGTCGTTAGTTTCCACCGGTTGGTAATACCGGTTTGAGTTATCCTGTGACCCAGAAACTCGAGTTCAGTAGCCCCAACATTGGCGTAGCTCAGGCCCCCTCCAGAATTATCTAGGCCCCTCTCCAGAATTATGTAGGCCCCCTCCAGATAAATTGTCTAGCTACGCCAATGAGCCCCAAATATGCATTTCTCCCAATTAAGCTGGACATTCCGTTCCTTTAACCTTGGCCACACGTTCATCGTTTTCTGTTTTATCCACTGACACAACTGACAACTTCTCACTGTTCGGCAGATATTGGAATAAACCCTGTAATTGGGGTCCTCCCAGGTGTAACAGTTTAGCCCATTTCTTCTTCTGATCGGCGATGTCTTCTGCTTCGAAATAATATGCCAGTGATCTTTTCCAAATCTCCCCCTTCTTGTGTAACTTTGTTCTCTAAATTTCGTTTCACCATCACTGTAATCACTATAATAACTTTCCCCTGGCACAATTTGCTGTGGATCCTCTAATTGTTTTATCCCAAGAATAACTATTTCAGACACCGATTCTTGAATCGGAGATCTTATCATTTTAACAGGTTTCCTAGCAATTCACAACAACAGATGCATCAAATACTTCCGATTCCCAAATCGGATATCACCTCAGTGTCATCGATTTCCCAAAATCGACTTCTTACACAGATTCATTCGTATCATAATCATCAATTCTCATCTCAACATCTTTTAACCACCGATTCCCAAATCGGATCACTTGAGCATAACTGGCTCAGGCCCCCCTCCCCCTGGCTCAGGAAGGCAACCTTGTTTTAGTATTTTTCACAAAACAAAACATGTAACTTCTAGTACACAGTGTAAAATGCCGGTAGTCCATATGGGACTGTTATGCTTTTATCACAGACAAACAGACGTAACACTTCATTGTGTAACTTCATTCGCGCATTTAACAGTTGATTTGAATATTACAAATTCTGCGAACTACTCGCCACAGCGCTGGCTTCGGATCACGTTGACGTTTCCATACATTCCATAAAACTTTTATGCAATGTTGTTTGCGAGTTAGCGAGCAAGCTTGTTTTCCGCGAGAAGCCCGAGAGATGTCGTTACTGAGGGCCTATGTTTTGAGATACTGTGTTTTCAAGAAAAGCTTGTTCAAAGAGTTACGTCTGTTTGTCTGTGCTTTTATGGGCAGTATAGGGGACTTTCAAACTGTGTTCGTATTATGGTTCAGATGCATTGCAGTTGAGAAGAACATGCGTATGAAGTGTCACATGACTTCTATGATTTTGAGGCCTTATATTCTAAACTGTTTTTCCAAGACCTCCGTCGACCTCCAAAACGCTTTCATGTTTGGTGAAGAATTTTGACGATACTGAAAATGAGGCATGTAACGAAAGTGTGTCAGATTTCAAACACAAATTTCTCAAAAGCATCAATATGAAATATGACAAACAATATGCCATTCGACGGAGAATTTATGAAACAAATAGTGATAATAGTTGAACATTTAGGTAATTTCCCTATAAACGGGAATGTTTCACGATCCAAGCAGATCCACAGACGGATGGGGAAAATCTACATTCTCTAGCACAGACATCCCTTTCGAGCCCGTGCGTAAAGTTGCCAGCAGAACAGGCAAATGGAATTCAATTAGCATGGGTAACTTTGTGAACTTCCAATGGTGAAATCTATCAGAAATTACGCATACACTTAGTTCCGTTAATTGTTTACAGAGGGCAGTGTGATCAAAACATGTATGGTACCTCTATATATGCATTTAGATTAACATCTTAAGTCCCTCCATTTTACATATTCTGAACAAAAACTTCATCCGAAGTCCCTACCTTTTTACATATTCTGCACAAAATATACTTTCTGCCCCGCCTTATTTATAAAAAAAAAACAGCGGAAATCCTGCTAGCGGCGTGGCTTTGAAAGTATTCTGTGTGCAAAATATGTAAAAAGGAGAGAAATCAGACGTTAATTTAAATGCATTTATAGAGGTGCCATACATATTTTGATCACACTGCCCTCTGATAACAATTAACGCAACTAAGTGTATGCGTAATTTCAGATAGATGTCACCATTAGAAACAGCAGTGACATCTGAAGGAAAATTAACGCAAAAGCATGGTAACCTGATTAATTCTGGTTTGTGAATGCGCAAAAAACGTAGAGTGATAAAAATAAATTTATGTATCTAGATCACTGCTGCAGCACGGAAATTGCACCTGAACAAGCAAACTCGGCAAAGCAAAACAAATCTGTTCCAAGAACACTGATTGTAGCCCTAATGAAAGCCGGTTCCGAAGCCTATAAATCCGGAAACACGCGTCGACCAGCAGTACATGCTGACACAGGTCACGTTTGTGATGGGTTCCGGCAAACTGGACAGGGTTCTTCCATCGGTGGCGTTCATTATGGAACAGTAGGACAGCGTTAACAACAGGGCTGGTAGCGAGTCACTTTTTTCAAGCAAGTCACTAAAAAGTCTCTTTTTTAAGGCCACGTCACTACAGTCACTTTTTCTTGTAATAAGTCGCTATTTCAAACTTTTTTAAACGTGAATTTATTTCAAGATTGACCATTCTTCTGGATAGGACTATATTTTGTTCTATTTTTGAACAATTCGAAGTTGACGACGTGGTATAGAGATTCTTTAACGTTTATTCGTTCTTCTCTATCTACAGGGTGTCCACTAATTTAACTAAATAAAGTTCCCTGAGTTTTCCAGGGTTTTCCATAACTTTGGCAGATAATTTCCAGGTTTATAATAAAAATGCTATTTATGAAATCCGTTAAAAATATGTTTTTATTAACGCAAACGTTTTTAAGACATGACTATCAGTTTTAAAGAAACAGCTTTAGCTCAAATTCATTAAATGTTGAAGTTGAACACTTACTTCATTTTAGTAAGACTAAGTTCACCACATTTTTAATGTCTTGACGTTTCGTACTATCAACAATGTGGAAACTTTAATGAAGTTCTATTGATCTCAGAAAAGCTATATCTAGAGATCTTTGGGGAATTCCAGAGATCTTAAGGGGAAGTCCCCGAAACTTTAGCCCAGACTATTGAATTGGTTCAGAAATCAATAAGCGTGAGTTTAGACAAATTCAGGATAGTTCCATGAGATGCTGCAATAAAATCGAGAACCCTTAAGATGTTTCGAGAGATTCAGTATAGAGACCTTCAGAAAATTTATGAAAACTTCAGGAACTTCCAAGAAATCCAGAGAATTTCAGGGAGGTTTAAAGGTGTTTACGAGAATTCCATTTATTTTAAAACAGAGCTGAGATCTTCAGGGAAGTTTTAGGGAAGCTCCGAGAACATGAAGACAGATCAGAGTATTAAAAGGCTGTTCAAAATATTTCAAGGAAATTCCAGAAACCGGAATTTAAGGCCACTTCGGTTTGCTTCCCATAGGTCACTTTTTAGTCACTTTTTTACAACTATAAGTCACTATTTGGTCACTTATTTCTTCAACATCATCAC